TACTATATATAACGTTATAGGTAACCCGAACCTTCGAATCGGCTAAGCCTCCGGCTCCTATTTTTCCGACTATTGGCCTTACTAGCCACACTAGTGGGCCGACCCGGAAGCGGGGCCGGCCGTCGGATACGGAACGAGCAGCCCAAGACCCCAAGCAACTAAGGATTACTTCCTCTCAGCCCAACCCGAATACCCAGCCCCTTTTCTCCCAAGCCAACCTATTCGAACAATTCCTTACCCGACCTTCAGCTCAGTCTTCCCCAGTCCAATCCTCGGCCCAATCTCTTTCTTCTCAGCCCTCCGAATCAACTACCCCAGCCTCCGATACCGATACCGAAATCGAACTATAAATGGGTATATCGATACTTTAGTGGAATACTCAGGGTATTAAGGAGAACCTCGAGGTCCTCCTCGAGGAAGCCAAGTACGACCTCCTAGCTATACAGGAATCCTGGAAGAATACTCAGACCAAGTCAACCTACTGCCCCCGCAGTAGTCGCTACCACCTAGTACACAGGCTGGGTAGCCGGGCAGCTATATTCGTTGGAAAAAGATTTGACCTTAGCCAGTGGGACTACGAGGTGGCCGAGGATTGGTGTCGTGTGTGGTTTTTGGGCCAGGGGGGCCCAGGGTTGGAAATTTGGTCGATCTACAACCCTCCTACCGACAAGACCCTCCCGTCAACCTTACTACAACAAATACCCTGACCTGCCAACCAGGTGATCCTTATGGGGGACTTCAACCTCCGGCACCCCCTGTGGGACCTGTACGAGCGGTATGAACGGGAGGCCGAAGGGCTGGTCCAACTAGCTACCTCCTGGGACCTCTATTTAGTTACCCTCCAGGGTACTATAACTAGGGAGCCCCAGGGGACCCAGCGGGGCCGGCCGTCGACAATCGACTTAGTGTGGGCCTCCTCTGGGCTTACTTGCTCCTATTACGGAGTAAAGGAGAGGAGGGCTTCGGACCACTACCCCCAAGTCGTCGAAGTCCTTACCGACAGACCTCCCGACCAGGCCCCCCCCCCCTGGGTGGGACTGGAAGAAAATGGATCAGAGGAGAGTGGTAGCCGAGGCGGCCCTACTACCTAGGATCCTTAGGCTGGAGGACCCGCGGCCCCAGGGCCTCCGCAGTCGTATCCAGTCGACTGTAGGCCTTGAAGAAGCCTTCGACCAACTAGTCGGAGAACTTACTAGGATGCCGACTGCAGTGCCCCCCGAAGAAAGGCCCATACTGGATTCCAGGCCCCCTGGTGGACTGGAGAGGTCCAGAATAAGGCCAAAGCGGCCAGGATAGCGGAGAGGGTAGCCAGGCAGGCCCCGACCGCTCACAATAAGACCTTACTTAACCAGAGCCGTAAGGACCTATCAAGAACCGTCAAGCAAGCTAGGATGAAGGCCTGGAGGTCTACCCTCCAGGAGGCAACTAGGAATTCGTCCCTTCTCTGGAACCTCGAACGTTGGGCCCGCTGTCGGAGCTACCTTCCTGTCGACCCTCCCCGGCTTCCGGCTATTAATGGCCATACTAGCTATGGTCGGAAGGCCCAAGCCCTAGCCGACCGATTTTTCCTTAACCCACCAGCTGGCCTTTCGAATATCCATGATCCTACCTTCTCTAGACCTTGGGAACCTCGACTACCAGTCAGCCAACAAGTTACCGTCGACGATATACAACAGGTCCTAGCCCGGACCTCCCCCTGGAAGGCTCCGGGCAAGGATTACCTATCTATGGGCCTACTGAAGGCTTGTGGTAGGCCGTTGTGGAGGATCCTAGCAGTGCTCACCCAGAGGTGTCTCGAACTCCAGTGGGTCCCGGCCCGGCTCAAGGAGGCTATAGTTATGGTCCTCCCTAAGCCGGGAAAGGCCCCGGAGACCGCTATACAAGCCGGTGTACCCCAGGGATCTCCGCTCTCCCCAGTCCTCTTCATACTATATATAGCTTCGCTATATAAAGTATTAAAGAGACAGCACCCCAAAATTAGCCTTGTGGGCTTTGCTGACGATACCAACCTTCTGGCCTTTGCTAGATTCCTTGGTGTGTGGCTTGATTAGAGGCTTAACTGGAGAGCCCACGGGTCCAAGGTAGCCAGTAAGCTGAAGACCCAGGATTTCGCCCTGTCAAGGATTGTGGCCAAGACTTGGGGCCCTAGTCTTCTTCGGGCCCGAGAGGTATATATCAAGTGTATTCGGAGCGCTATAGCCTTCGGTGCTACCAACTACTACAAGCCTACCCCACTAGGGGCCTCGGCCTGAGGCCCGGCCCAGGACTTAGCTAAGGCCCAAAATCGGAACCTTCGGATAGTAGTGGGGGCCTACAGGGCCACCCCTATCCGGAACCTCGAAACCGAAGCTTGGGTTCCGCCTTTGGACCTATATCTCAATAAGAGGCTTGCCGACTTCGAAGACCGACTTGACTGCCCTACCCTCCAGTCCGGCCAGGGCCCCGGGGCCCCATGCAGGCCACCTCGGGCCTTGATTCAGGAGGCCTGTAATAGGCTATACCGACGGTTCTACCGATACCGGAGCTGAAGACGTGGCCCACGGCCTGGATTCGGCCCACAGCCTCCGACAGCCATAGAGACGGCCTCGGCTATAGTGGCCGAGTGGGCTAGTCAGGCCAGGGCCTTGGGCCCTGCCTTGGCCAGGCCCAGGGCCAGGGGGAGGAGGGGGATTCCCCATTCTCTCTCTGACCCTGGGAACTGGGCCCTACAGAGGGCCTGGGAGGCCAGGTGGAAGGCTGAGGTTCAGGGCTGGCCTACGAGGTTAGCTGACGAAGGACTCCCTACCCTTCTTTTTACCGACCAGAGCCTACGGAAGTTCCAGGACTTATCCAAGGCGGAGAGCTCCCTACTGGTTCAGTCCCGTACGGGAGCTATTGGCCTGCGGGACTTCCTTTTCCACCAGGGGGTCCCGGACCTACCTATGCCCTACTGTGGATGTGGGCTAGGCCGGGAGACCGTGGAACATTTGGTTGTTTGGTGCCCTATACCACCCGTAC